ACCCTCTGAGAGCCCCACCCTAGCCCCACCCATGGTGAGGGACCAGGGACCAGCAACCTTGCATGCCTCCTATGGAGACAAGTATACAGTTCAGGGCTGTGGGCAGGGCAGAACTGGGAACACACTGCAACAGAAGCCCCACCTGCCCTGCAGTCCCCAGCACCCCTCCCAGTCACAGCAGGTGAAGGAAGACAGCCCCTGGACGGCCCCCAGGCCAGCAAGCCTAGAGTCCCTAGAGGCCACCATACAGACAGGCCAGCCAGGAGGGGACTCTGGCAAGCTAAAGCCTGGTTGTAAAGACTGCCACTGAGCTACAATGGCTGCCATGTCCCAACATGGCCAGTGACACTGACCTTCTGGGCTGGCGAAAGAAACTAGAGACTGGTGGGTTTGTGTAAAATTGTGCAGCAGTCATCCACAGGAAACTCTAAGTACTCCTGTGTTCGGGCTGGGGATGTCCTGCCGTGTGGATCTGAGCGGACCATGTGACCTCGCTTTAAGAGCTGTGGTCTGCAACACAGAACTAGACCTGTCCCTCCGTTATTTTGACAACGAGACACTTAGCCGAGACTAGTGATAACAAACAACACTACCAGCTAGTGTCCCTGCGTTCAAATGAAGGCTATTTCATTCAGACCACAGTCTCGTACGACAGGTAATGCTTTAAAGTGTATACTGCCATGCTGGTGCACGTCTGGAATCCCAGTATTCAGCCGGTGAAGCAAAAGATCATGAATTCAACAACAAACCTTGGTGTTTTAAAATTAAGGAAGAGAAAAAAAAAAAGCCTTCGGAAAAGTCTTAAAAACAAGGAATTCTATATTCTTTCTCTGGATTTGTGTAGTCGCCCTAATTTGCTCTGATTTCTTGTCTGTCTGTACAGATCTCTTTACTAGTTGTGTGTGTGTGTATGTGTGTGTGTGTGTGTGTGTGTGTGTGTGTGTGTGTGTGTGTGTGTGTGTCTGTTTGCCGTGCTGGGATGGAACCCAGGGCCTGGCACAGGCTAGACCGTGCTCCACCACAGTGCTCTCATCATGGAACCCCCGTATCTCACTCCCAGCGACACTGCTTCCAGAACCTTCCCAGCTTTCTCAGTCCTGGGCTCCCCACCTGCAGCTCAGCTCTCAGGTCTCCTGTGGACCCTTCAACCCCGGGCTGGTCCTTGGCCTTGAGTTCTTACTGTCTTCACTGAGAGAGGCTGAAGTGCCCACCCAGTGTCCCCCTCCAGGGAAAGGTGAGTGGGGGGGGGCCCCCGCGGCGGTTAAGCTCAAGAAGGGTCCCCTCCAGGCTGTGCACTGGCTCCAGGCCTCAATGCCAACAGCAGCCTCACTGGCAGCAGGTGGGGGCCGGGCTCCCTCTGCAGCAGGTGGAGGCTTCACACAGACACCTCGTTCAGCCGGCGATTAGCAAGCACCTTTCTGTGCATACTTCCCGGGGTCCTGCTCAGCTCCCACATGTGGCTATGGCCCTGGCGGTGTGCCACCCCCTCATTCTGTGGCCCCAGTTAGCCACTGGAAGATAAACAGTGGGCTGGGGCAGAGAGTTCTCCCCGCCTCTGTGTAAACGGGGGACAAAGGGGACTGGGGATGGGTGGGGCCAGAGGATGGATGAGGCCTTTTCTTGTTTGTGTATGTGTATACGTACATATGTGCACATGTAAGGGCCAGAAGTCAACCTTATGTGTCCATCTCTCAGATCCACCTTGTTGTTTTAAACGGATTTCCCACTGGCCTGGAACTCAGTGGTAAGGCTGCACCGAATGGCCAGCAAACCTCAGGGACCTGCCTGTCTGCCTCCCTTGTGCTGACACACCACTCACACTTTCCGTCTGCCTGTTTTGTTTTGTTGTTTTTTGAGACAGCATCTCTCAGCTGAGTGGTGGTGGCACACGCCTTTAGTCCTAGCACTCTGGAGGCAGAGGCAGGTGGATCTCTGAGTTCAAGGCCAGCCTGGTCTACTGAGCATGTTCCAGCAGAGAAATCCTGTCTTGAAAACCCAAGTGTGGGAGTGGGGAGTTTCTCGGCACAGCCCTGGCCGTCCTGGAACTCCTATGTAGACCGGGCTAGCCTAGAACACACAGAGATCCACCACCTCTGCCACCCAAGTGTGCCAGCACACCTGGTCCACCCAACTATTTTTTTTTTTTATGAGTCCTGGGGATTAAACTCGGGCCATCATGCTCAGGCGCATTCCTGCCTGGGCTCTCTCCCCAGTCCCGGCCTTTTCTCTTCTTAGAACAGCAGCAGTCTAGGCCACTATGTTCAAAAGGCAAAAGAGACAGCCTAAAGGCCCAAGAGCCCCAGGGCATCTCCCTGACCCACAGACTAACCAAGCTGAAGGGAATGCTGAGGCCAGCGCTGTGGCTGGGGCCTGAACACTCTCCAAGGCAGACCCCAGCTGCCCAGCGGGAGAGGAAGAAGTACCACAGCAAAGGCCGGGAGGCAGAGGCGGAGGCGGGCACGGATGACACTGCAGATGGCATCGGAGGTCCAGCCTGCAGTATCTGGGAAGAAAGAGGGAGTCTGGGGGCTGAGCCCACACATTCAGCCTCCTCAGAGAGGAACTGTGGGCCACTGCTGTCCCAGGACAGAAGAGTCATCCTGGAACTTCAGCCAGAGCCCCCACCCACCATTTTGAGGAGCCGGAAACACGGGCGTCCAAATGAAAGCTGTCACTGACCTTGTCACCTCCATCCTTGGCCTACTGTCCCCATCCCCCAAGCCCCTCTGTCCAGCCTCCGCCCAGCAGGGAACACAGCACACGTCTCAGATTCGGCAGGAGACCCTCCGGGGATACCTTCTGCCTGTGTTCCTCTCTGCTGGGACCGAAACGCCTCATGACCTGAGACCTCACCATGGGAGGTCACGGGAGATGTAGCAGATACAGCAGCTTCATGCAAAGCTAGTGTCACGTCCCCAGGACGGCTGTTGGAAACTCACCAGAATGAACATAGAAGGAAAAAGATCGGCCTCTCCTCCCCACTGACATTTTGAAAACACCACGTAACAAATAAATGACATCAACAAACTCCTCCAAAGATTCCTCCACAAAGACCACCCTCCACAGATGAGCTACTCTGCAGGACCAGCATTTGGGGGCAAGGACAAGACGCCCTGTTTTCCTGTCATCCAGTGGCCTCGAGGGCAGGGCCACTGGAGTCTGACTTAACCCATTGGTCTGCCCTGGCCGGACACTGTCAGGCCACCGAGGGGTTTCCCACTGGCTCGTCAGGGGCCAGCATAGGCCACAGCTACTGAAGAGAGATGACGGGCATGGGAGACACAGGAAGAAGGGAGAGGTGGGCAGGCACTGGGCAAGCAAGGCCGCCTTTCTCTCCACAGGTGATCTTAGGCCCACTGGAGACTCTGCCTTCGGGCATAGGGGCTCGGTTCACAGGCAGGTCTGACACATCAGAACCACGTCAGAACTGGATGAGAAGGCCAGAAGATTAGGCCTAACTCCTAGCCCCTGGCCTGACTTACCTTGAATGACCTCAGCTTTCCCAACTGTCAATGAGGCTGCTGATTCTAACCTGGCCTAACTCATGGTAAACTGGTACAAGGCATGTTCCGGACCCTTTGGAACTGGAGAACCTGACCTCCCTCAGACTTCCTTTGTAGAAGGCCCCAGAAGAGCATCCACCCCCAGAAGCCCAAGGCCGTGGAACACCAAGATAACCTGGTGCCTGAGGTGCCGAATTCAGCACCACAGGAAGTGGTCCACACAGATAATGACCCCCAAGTCATCTAGGGGAGGCTGCTCGCCAGTCTGCATAGGCCCAGCGTCCACTCCCAAGCAGGCCTGTCTCCTCACAGATCTGAGGGCTGAGCTTTCTGGTCAACCAAACCCCAAGTCACCAGTGCACAAGCTGCCCCTACCCCGTGAGGCCCCTGCCACCTGTCAAAGCAGCCCCTGCTCCAACCGTTCCCTCGCCTGGGGGCCTAGGGGACAGTGCCCTGGGCCACACGGCAGGCCAGGCAGCCCCACTGGTTGGATCCTCCGTCCAGCACCAGCACGCTGCTCCCACTCTCCTCTCCAGCTTCGGCTCGGGGCCCGGCCTCTTGACTCTAGGAGAGCCACTACCCTGAGAGGACGGCATCCAGGCAGCTAGCCAGGTCCTCAGCACCCTGCCGCTTCCTTCCTGTGGAAGGCATGTGGGGGCCTGTGGGGGTCCCCGCTCGGCTCCTTCCAAACCCCAGCCCCCCCTTCGCGGGGTCCAGCTGCACGGTGGCTCTTTCATGAGCTCGGTCCCTCAGTCCCTCTAAGCAGACCACCTGGACCCCTGGCTACCCCGCAGGCACAGGGCAGACCCGCCCCGTCACCCCGTCACCAAGAGCCCAGCGCTCTCCAAGGGAGGGATGCGCGGGAAGCAGGGCGGTGGTCCAGAGCCTCGTGCCTCCCGCGTCCCCCCCAGGCCGGGAAGGAAGCTTCGGAGGGGAAACGCGGGGCGGAGGCGGCCGGCCTGGATCCCGCGCCCCGGCCGGCCGGAGAAGGGCGGGCCGAGGCGCCCGCGGCCACCTCGTGCGTTCTGTCCCGCGGGAACCGGGGCGAGGACCCCACAGCCACGCCCGTCGCCCGAGCCCCAGGACGTCCCGGCCCGCGTTCGCGCTCACCTGCCACCGCCGCCACCGCCACCGCCGCCGCCGCCGCCGAGGGCCCGGGCGCCCCCGATTCCCGCCCGCGGCTCTCAGAGCCCGGGCGCCCCCAGCTGGCCGTCCTGAGCGTGCGGGGGCGCGGGCCCGGGACCTCGGGGCGCAGGCCGGGAGCGTCCCCACCCGGTCCCCGCGGAGCCGCCTCCGGCTCGGTCACCAGCAGCGCTCGGTCCACTCCCGTGTCCCTGAGTCTGCAGGAGGGAGCCACGCCCGCAGCCCTAGGTCACCAGACAGACCGCAGCTCCGGGGTTCCCAAAGTACCTCTCTCCCTCGTGGTCCCCGGCGCCCGGCCCATTCCCACCTCGGAGGAGACTAGGCGGTGTCGTCTCGGGGGCCGCCTCCCTCCAGATCTCGGCTGCCCTCCGGCCACGCCCCTGTTTCTGGAAGCCTCCAGGCTGCAACTTAGGCTCTCTTGCCAAATGTGGATGTCCCGATCCTTTGTCACCTAGACCTTGACAAATTAGGACAATCTGAGGTGAGAGCTACCCACCCATCTGCCTTACAGGAATAACCCTATTCGCTTGGAGGACAAAGCCAGCCTAAGAAAGTAAGTGTGCAACCTCGTGGTAACTCCTACAATCTGGGGTGGGGCACCAGAGTTGGAAAAACAAAAAACTACCCTTTAATTAAAGCACACCTTTAATCCCAGCACTCCGGAGGCAGAGGCAGGCGGATCTCTAAATTCTAGGGCATCCTGGTCTACAGAGTGAGTTCCAGAACAGCCGGGGCTACACAGAGAAACCCTGTCTCAACAAGCCCCGCCCCCAAATCTACTCTGTTTCTGAGGCTGGGCAAGCAAGAAGGTGCTACCCTGAGTCACCATGAAGCCCACCCAGCAGGGCGTTCAGCTAGGGCCTCCCCAGGCCTTCTGTCCTCGCATCCTGTATCTATGAATGACTTTCCACATTGCTGGAAGTGTCGGGGGATCTGCTGTGCACGTTTTTTCAGGGTTAACTCAAAGTCTTGGTGGGATCTGCTCAGGGATGGCCTGAGCATCAGGTCTCAGACACACAGGTGACCCTGGGACAAGCAAAGGGTCTGTTCTAGTGGGATCCTGGGGCCGGCTACCCTTCTTACAGGAGAGGAGACTCCAATGAGTCGTGACTCTACTCCCCACAGAAGCCCTGGGTCCCAACCCAGAGATCATCCTGTTACAATCATCTGGAAGGTAGTAACTGACTTCCTCTCCAGGTGGCCAGTCAGGGCATATACCGCCGTCTTCAGCCAGACTGCCCAGCCTTCCTGAGATTGGCCAGGCATCACTTCTGGCACGCCACCGTGATGGCCAAGGTGACACTTGCTGTCTAGACTGAAGCCTATTGGCTTCCCGCTCTAAGAGCTTTGGCCTCAGAGTTTCCAAGAGATGAGCCCCCCGGCAGTGGTCAGATGGTAGCCCTCATCAGAACCCCAGCATCCCCACTCCATCAACAGAAGCCAGGACACAGGTAGGCAGCCTGTCTAATTGGAACTCCAAAATGGGGGGGGGGGGGAGCGGGGCCGAGAAGTGACTTGGTGCACATCCTCTGGCTTTTCCAAAAGAAAAGGAAAACTGCAAGGACCCCTCACCCTTCTGGTGTGGGTCGGATGGGAACGATACAATGACTGTGGTCTCTGTCGTTTTTTATGTCATCGGCCAAGGCCTGTGACCAGTCTACCAGCAGACAGGAAAACAGAGCTGAAGAAAGGGAGCAGAACAGGATGCCTGCCTCAGCACATGCTGCCAACCCACAAGACGCCTTTACAATCCTCCTCTCTGCTGTGGATACCCCTGCGGCAGCCTGGTGGGACGCTCTGATGTTCAAGCTGTGGCCAGCACTAGGATCTCCCCCAAAGATGCAGTGGAAGCACTCACTGGGTGGGGTGGGCCTGTACCCAGCACAGTGGGGCTGGGGTACTTACTCGGCTTTCTAACTTTTTGGGTTTTTGTTTTTTTTTTTTAAAGATTTTTTTGTTTTGGTTTGGTTTGATTTTGGTTTTCGAGACAGGGTTTCTCCAGCCCTGGCTGTCCTGGAACTCACTCTGTAGACCAGGCTGACTTCAAACTCACAGAGGTACGTCTGCCTCTGCCTCACGAGTGCTGGGATTAAAGCAGAGTACCACCACCGCCCTGCAGTTTTTGTTAAAGATTTTTATTTTAGGTGTGTGTTACCTGCATGTATGTCTGTACACCACGCGTGCTCAGTTCTTGGAGAGGCTAGAAGAGGGTGTCAGCCCCCCTGGAGCTGGAGTTACAGACAGTTGTGAGCGGCTGTGTGGATGCTGGCAACTGAACCCTGGTCCTCTGAAAGGGTAAAAGCACTCCAGCCCCTGTGTGTGGATGCTTTGCCTATATGGACTTAGGTGCCTGCAGAGGCCAGAGGAAGGTATCAGATCCCCTGGAGCTGGAGTTACAGTTGCGAGTTGCCATGTGGGTTCTGGAAACAAAACTCAGGTCCTCTGTAAGAGCAGCCAGTGCTTTTGAGTCCTAAGCCATCAATCTAGACCCTTTACATTATTATTTTTTTTTTTTTTGAGAAAGGGTCTCTCAACCAAGTGGTGGTGGCACACACCTTTAATCCCAGAATTTGGGAGGCAGAGGCAGGCAGATCTCTAAGTTCAAATCCAGCCCTACAAAGTGAGTTCCAGGACAGCCAGGGCTTCATAGAGAAACCCTGTCCCCCCGCCCCCCCAAAAAAAAAGGAGGAGGAGAAAAGGAAAGGAAAGAGAGAGAGAGAGAGAGAGAGAGAGAGAGAGAGAGAGAGAAAGGAAGAAAGGAAGAAAGGAAGAAGGAAAGAAGGAAAGAAAGAAAGAAAGAAAGAAAGAAAGAAAGAAAGAAAGAAAGAAAGAAAGAAAGAAAGAAAGAAAGAAAAAGAGAAAGGATCTCTCCCTGAATCTGGAGTTGTTTGTCTAGATTAGCTGGCCAGTGAGTGACAAGGACTCATCTGTATCCATCACCGTCCCCTCCAGTGCTGAACTTCGGGGGTGCACAGTCCCAGCCATTCCACAGCCTGGCTGTGTGTGGTCTGGGAAGGGCTGTTAGGAGGTGGAAGGCTGACTGAGTTGGAGGATTCCATCTATGCAGTTTTTAGATTATCCCCTGAGCAGCTGTTGTTTGGGGGACGGGTCACCCACACTTAAAAGTAATCCTGTGGTTCACCAAGCTGTGCCAGATGGAATTGTTCCTTTGGTCTGCTGTTGGCAAACCTGTCTGGGACAAGCAGAATTCGTTCATCTGGAGCTGGAGTGATGGCTCAGTGGTTAAGAAAACTGGCTGCTCTTGCTAAGGACCCAGGTTTGGTTCCCAGCACCTACATGGAGGCTCACAAACCATCTGAAATTCCAGTTCCAGGGGATCTGACACCCTCTTCTGACCTCTGCAGGCACCAGGCACTCATACATACATACATGCATACATACATACATACATACATACATGCAGGCAAAAAAAAAAGAAAAAAAATTAAATAATTTGTTCACATCTTCCCAGGAAAAGTTAACCCTTCAATTCCACAGCTCATGTTTGGAGCACTGTTTTCAGAGTCTATGGAGCATTTAGGAGGCGAGGCCTCCTCCTGGCAGAAGTGAGGTCCTGGAGATGGGCCTTTGATGGTCATAGCCTCTTCTGGTTCTAGCCTGGCCTGAGTATTTTGCTTCCTGGTCCAGCAGGACCTGGGCGAGCTGCCATGTTGTTTCTGTCCCCAGCTCCCACCACAGACTGAGCCGTTCCCTCTGCCTTGCCTTCTTCACAGTGACGAACTGAAACCCTGAGCCCAAATCCTCTCCCATGAAGTAGCTTCTGTTTGGTCAAAGCACTGAGAAAACTGCCTCGTCCCGGAAGTCGGGACTGAGAGGCGGGGCTCTTGGTGTTATACTCTGACCGTGGGTTTCATCAGCCTTCAGGATTGCCTCATAGAAGAGTTGGGAGCTGAAGGATGAAGCTGTAGGCAGAGCTTAATGGTCCTTCTGGTGGGAGCATGGAAGACCAGCATGCCAAGAGGAATGTGGGCATGGGAGAACATACCCAAACCCTCTAAGACAGACGGCAAACCCTAAACCGCGTGTGAGCTCCAGCTGCCTTAGGATCCCTGGATCTGCAGGCCTGCCTCCTGGGGCACACATGGTCTCTAGGACCGCCCTACCAACTGCCCACAACTTTCCTCAGCGGACATCCCATCTTCCCGGGGTCGACATTTCCATAGCAGCTTTGGCTTTCCCTTCAAGGCTATATGCATGCGCAGATGTACACACTTGGGCATGGAGGACGGAGGACAGATTTCGGGAGTCGGTTCTCTCCGCTCTGAGTTCTGGAGATCAAGCTCAGGTTGCAGGTTTGCAGGTGAGCGCCGTTACCTCCCGAGCCGCCACCTCGCCGCTCAGGCCCGGTTTTTCCTGGCTGTCTTCCCATTCCCTTTTGGAATCAAAATGTTTACCTGGTGACACTGAATATTAGAAGTTTGTAACTTTGCCAGGCGTGGTGGCACATGCCTTGATCTCAACACTCTAGAGGCAGAGGCAGGCAGATCTCTGTGAGTTCAAGGCCAACCTGGTCTACAGAGGGAGTTCCAGGACAGCCAGGACAACATAGTGAGACCCTGTCTCAACACCGTCCTCACCCCAAGAAAAGGAAGTTTGTAACTTTCAGATTATTATAAGGGCTCACACTGAGTTCTCCTTGAATCTCAGAAGATACTTTGGACTTTTGAAGAGTGTTGGGATTCAAAACTGGGGACTTTTTTTTTTTTTTTTTTTTTTT